TTATCGCATAGTAATAAATTATCAATATCAAAAATGTATTTCTGTTTTTTCTTTTTACATATTTTGTTAAAAGGCCAAATAAAGACTTCAAACCAAAAAAAAGTCATTTTCTGTTTTGTTTTATTCTTGGATCAGGCTTTTAAAGGGTTAAGGGAGCGTGTTTCTTTTGAACATTAAGCCTAAACACCATCTTTCTAAGCCGATGTTTATGAATATCTTACTTCTAAAATACAATGTTTCCTATTTGAAACATGGATTTCTGGAACCTACCACGTGAAGCTTTGGAAACAGTAAATTTTTTTATTTATAGTAAAAATATGAAGGACATTTTTTAGCAGTATGCAAAAGATTCCTTTTTTTCTTTTTTTTAAAGTAAAAATAAATTTGAAAAGAATTGAAAAATATCATTTTACTTTGGAATCATACTTTGGAATAAAAAGATTAATTTAAGACATTCTTGTCTGAAAAACAGCTTTATATTTGTGTTTATTAGTTATGATCTGTTGTAGAATAGCAGAAACTATTAGATCCTGAAGTACAAAGTGAAAACTTCTGAAAGGGGATGCAGCTTCTTTTACTGGGTGAGCAGTCAAATGAAAACTATTCCATCATTCATCACAGTGAGAGCTGAACTTTGATCAGAAACGGCCTTAAATTGTAAAAAAATAAAGCCCGTTTTCCTGCTCACCCCGAGCAGGTCTGAAGTTCTCCTCAGGGCCTCTTTGTCCACGTGGATGTGGTGGCTCTCCATGGCTGAAATAACACGCAAATATCTGTCTCCAAACGGCTTTAAAAACACATCTCTCCACCTTTTAAAAGGTGTTATAATATGGGAGCTAAGACAGTTTATGAGCTGATGAGATTTAAAGCATATCCAATTATCTGAAAGTCACAATCTGAGAAAATAAATGTGTAAATCAAATATTATCCCACTGAAAAGTGACTTGTAGGAACAAAGTAAATTGGGCTCACCAGCCAAAACAGGGATCATCTTCAGCTCCATATCAGAGAAGAGCCCCCACAGGCCTCGGCTCTGAACACACACACACAAGTCAAACAGTGTGTGTGTGTGTGTGTGTGTGTGTGTGTGTGTGTGTGTGTGTGTGTGTG